TTTAGAGACTCCATCAGGACCTGCGCGGGATGTGCCATCGGCTATACTGAAGAGGCCACGCTCCACAATGTCGCGTGACCTGTCCACAAGAAGAGGTGAAAGTGGGCATACTACAATTTTCATAAAGGAACCCCGCCCTTTGCCACCCATAGTTCGGGGTGTTGAGGACGATAGCCCGGAAGATATAGAAGATGAAGTACAAGAGAGGTCTCCCGACAACTCACCGTTGCTTCCTTTCCGTGGCGAAACGAATGTCGAAGGCATTGTCGCTGTAGGTAGAGATGATAATAGCAATTAACCTGATGGCGCGCCTTCGCCGACTACCGTGGGGAGGAGCATTCCTGAAGGGCGGAGGCAACGAAAGCGTCCGCGTGTGGTGGCGCTTGGGTTCGATGAAGCGGTGAGGCAGAATATTATAGCTGAAGGAACCGCAAATGGTCGCGATGAAGGGAGAAAACAAAAGTCAGCGTGTGGAGGTGTGATGGAGAAGACTCGTAGGATAAGGAAGGAGGACATGCTTGCTCAAACAGAAGATCACCTAGCTGCAGATCCTGTGTGTCACTCGCTTCGTGAAACTGCATTGTCACGAAAGGTCAAGCCCATCAACTATGATAAGGGTTTTTTTCTAGAGTACGACACGGAGGGGAAGGCATTAACCAATGCAGCGCAGGTGCTCATTGACATAAGCAGAGTCTTGGACATGCCGCCACAGGAGATAGCGTACAACCACCGACCACTCGAGCGAGAGCGTGTTGCGGGGATAAAACGGGTAATTGAGGAATCTTATGCGGGTCATGGACAATGGAGGAAGCCGGACCTCATTGTCGCACCTATTGTTCCCCCGCCTCCTGGCAGCGGTGGAAAAGCACAACGTGTAAAACCGCAAGATTTTCAAATCTCGCGAGTGTCCACCTATCATTGGTACGCAGTTGCCGGTCAACATACTGCTGCGGCTGCTAGAGAATTGTTAAGGGTATCTCAACTTGCCATAGATAAAGGTTTCCACAAGTGGAGGGTTCGTCCTGTTTATTTTGACAATGACGAACTGAAAGGGTACAGCCACATTGCAACGGAAGAGAATACGAAGGAGCTCAAAGGTTTGTCATCCTCGCAGCGTGGAAGTGTGGCGTCAATACGGCAGTTGTGGCTGGAGATGGGAAAACCGGAGGCAGTTTATGGAATAGCTGGTGAGTCTGATGTTGGGAGGCAAAAAAAGAAGGAGAGTTTTGAGGATTTTCAAAGGGCTGCAATGCGGATGACGAACAATCGCGTCTATTGGGAAATGACAACTTGTGGAGTTGATCATGATTCAGAGTGGTCGAACATACTGCGACCTTTCCTTGCACTTGCCGAAACAACAGACAAAGTGTGGGCACTGGTTCAAAAATTTAATGATGAGTGGGAGAGAGGCAACATTGCTGAAAGCGATGTTATAAAGCCAATATCAAAGAGAGGTGTTCCAGGTATAGCAACACGTGAAGGTCCAGGAACACAAGACGTGAAGGAGGGAAAAATTCTGGTGCACTTTGTTCGGGGTACCGACGGGTCTCACCACTTCATAGCTGTCCCAGAGCCGCAGTTGACAGCATGGCGTGCATTCCGCAGCATGAGTATGGAAGAGAAAGAGTATGCGTTTCTTCGCATACTAGTCGGCGAGGTCATGATAACACAAGCGCCAAAGGGTAGGGGAGGACTGCGGTTCCCAACAGGAGTGCAAGACGACATAAAGCGAGACCGTTACATGCTTTGTATGATCAATTTCATGTTATTCGACAAGCAGCCGGAAGACTGGAATGATCATACATTTCTTGGTCTGCAGGAGGTGTTGGATCGTTTTGCGCACAAAGGACTTGACAGGAAAACATGGGACGAGAGACGCAAGGAGATCCCTTTGGACTTAGTGAAAATGATGCCCATGCGCCTTGGTGGAATGACGGAGAAATCACAAGGCGGACACACGAAAACAGAGTCTTGGAGTAAGCGCATGCGTGCAGATTTCAAGGCGTTTGTGTACAGGCTGTTGGACAAAACAACGACACTAGAGATTGAAACAAGCCACGTGCGGACCAACCAGCTGTGCATAAAGTGGAAAGACCGCCAAATGTCAACATCGCTCAGTCCGGTGCGCATCCACCTGTTGGATGTCATTATCGGTTCCAGCAAAGTGGCAAAAGCCACTCGAAACTTCCCGACCCATTTCGTGTGGTTGGATATTTGTGGCGCCGGACAGATGGACTCATGGACGGAAGAACAATTTCATCTACTTCAAGCTTTTATGAACTTGTATTGCGGCAATTTTTGGACGCTTGTGCTTCTCGTGCCTTTCCATGCGGAGGGGATGGTTCTAAGGCAGTGTGCAAAGTGGGAGGACGTCCACATTTTGCAAGGATCATGGGCGCGATATAGCCAGCGAAACGCGATGCAACAATTTGGACATCGTTTGTAAGCTGGACGATGGTGATGAGAATAGGAACACAGTCCGTGTGACAACGACCGATAT